AATTGGAAGAGGAATTTCAGAACCTCACAAACGGATTCATACAAAAACACTACAATCCCCAACTTCTGAAAAAGAAACAACAAGAAGTCCACAACATGACTAGAGAGGAACTCATGTTAATAAAAAGAGAGAAGAGGGATGATGTGTTCCAGAAAAATTAGGATAGAACACTTCCCATCTTTGTGACGACGTACAACGCATCAGCAAATGACATCAAGAAGATCATGTGGAAGCATTGGCCAATTACCACCCAAGATAAATGTATAGGAATTTTGGACAATACACGACTGAAAGTAGTGTTCAGAAAGAATCAAACAATCAAGAACATAATTGCCCCAAGATTGGTTAAGAATAATAAAATAAAAATGAAAATAGCTAATTTTGGTGTAAAAGGTTTATTCAGATGCAGAAGGAAAAACTGCATGACATATCCACTTGTTAGACAAAAAGAAAATACGTTCTTCTCCTCCAACCATAATGGTGAAAATAAGAAATTCAACAATTTATAAACTGCAATACTACCCATGTCATTTATCTCATGGAATGCACATGTGGTAAACAGTATGTAGGCAGAACATGCAAAAAAGCTAGAAACAAGAATATATGAACATGTACATTTGATTAGAAAGAAATGCATAAATTTACAGATTTTATTATTAACATGATGTGAAGTCATGATTTTATTAAAGGACCACTATAGTGCCAGGAAAACATACTCGTTTTCCTGGCACTATAGTGCCCTGAGGGTGCCCCCACCCTCAGGGTCCCCCTCCTGCCGGGCTCTAGGGTGAGGAAGGGGTTAAACTTACCTCTTTCTCCAGCGCTGGGCGGAGAGCTCTCCTCCTCCTCTTTGGCTGAATGCGCATGCGCGGCAGGAGCCGCTCGCGCAATCAGCCAGTCCATAGGAAAGCATTCACAATGCTTTACCATTGGCGCTGGCGTCTTCTCAATGTGAAAATCACAGTGAGAAGTGCGGAAGCCCTCTAGCGGCTGTCAATGAGACAGCCACTAGAGGCTGGTTAACCCATTTATAAACATAGCGGTTTCTCTGAAACTGCTATGTTTATAGAAAAAAGGGTTAAACCTAGCTGGACCAGGGACCCAGACCACCTCATTAAGCTGAAGTGGTCTGGGTGCCTATAGTAGTCCTTTAATGACACGGAGGCGAGTATTCACAGTGTGGAGGTGGATTAGCAGGGTCTGGAGCAGGGTAACCGCACGTCCCCTGGTGTTATGCTGCACTCTCTCTTTATTTACCTCAGCAGCAAAGAAAAATAACATTAAATCAGTATAAAAGAAACCAGTAAATAACATGAGGTATATCTTCCTAGCAACAGGAACAGCCAATCAGCATCCTCTTTATAGCATAATAGGCAGTGTCCAGTATACTACTTCCTCTTTCTTGCAATCCTGAACAAGGACAACAAATCCAAATAATCCAAAATGGGCTCCAATTAGAGGGTATACGAGCCTTAAACTGGATCTCGAAGTCAAACTGGAAGAGAAAGGAGAATATGATAATATCCAAGTATAAAACTGGATTTATGCATAAATTCACATTGCACGGAATTTCATATATATACACATACATATATACACACACACACACACACACACACATAACATGAAATTCAGTTTAGTCAAACCTTAAGCTCTTGACAGTCATTAACAAGGATAAAACCCGGTAAGGTCCACAGTGTGATAGGCTTTACCTTCATCATAGAGGTCAGAAAAATGGAGGACAGAAATAAAAGGAGCCGATATGGAATTTAAATTTAATTCCATGCACCAACTATGCCATCTGCTCCAAGCAGATATATAAGCCTGTCTCGTGTTGGGTGCACCCTTGATAAGTTGGGGAGTTGATTGCGAAACTCCCTTGACCGACCAAGTTTCCCTGAAATAGACTACACTATGAGATGCAAGAGACCTTAGAGAACAAGGGGATGAGGTACACCGTCTGGATCCTGAAGAAGGCACTCGAGAGATGGAACGTCGATAACCATCTCCTGAAGAGGAGAGAACTATGGTTGGAACAGCGATAGAGGAGCCACAATCACCATGTGCCGGACTGGCGATGTAGATGGAAAGGCAACAGGGAATCAGTGCAAAGGGCAGAAAATCGTAATTCCTTGGAGAAAACATTCATAGCCAGTGCTATCGGATCTGGTCTCCAACTGAAAGAACGGGGAAGTTGAGCATTCAAACGAGAAGTGAAAAGATCTATTTCCAATAGACCCCATAGGTTCTAGATGTCTTGGAAGACCATGGAATCCAAGTGCCAGTCGCTGGAATCTCTGAGTTGGCATGAATACCAGTCCGCCGTAGTGTTGGAGAGACCTTGAATATATTCTGCCGTGACTGAAATGCCATGTATCAGGCAAAATTGCCAGAAATCACGAGGCATGTAGGTCAGAATTTTGTATTTTGTGCCTCCAAGTGTAGCGGACTGCTGACACATTGTCCATCTTCAGAAGGATAGCGCATTGGGCTTGAGTTGGGGAGAAACTGTGGACTGCAAAGGAACCGGCCAGATGTTCCAAACAATTAATGTGGAGTGTCGATTCCAGGTTTGATTATCTGCCCTTGGTGGAAATATAACCACATTGAGCACCCCAACCGTGCAAACTTGGGTCGGATTTGATTATCAAATCTGGAGCTGTACAAAATATGGTGCACTCATTCCAAGCTTCCATGTGAAGAAGCCACCATTGGAGTTCATCCTCCGCTTCTGAGTCCAGAGTTACCATATCTGTGTATGATGCGCTGCCTTTGAGATGAAGTTTGTAATCGTTGTAGAGCTCGATAGCCAAGAAGACCTGGAAAAATGGCCTGTATAGATGCCGCTAGAAGGCCTAATATTCTCAACAGTTGTTTGAGAGAGAGTTGAGAGGTTGTTAGTGTTCGCCTCTCACCTTCTTGATATTGGCTAATTTTGCCACCGGAAGGTGTAGAGTTTGAAGGGTAGAATCTACAATAATCCAATATAATCCAGAAATTTGATTTGTTGCGTGGGAACGATAATGGATTTCTCACAATTGATCAGGAAGCCTAGGTTCTCTAACAGAGTCAAAGTTCATGCAAAGTATGTCCGGATTAATTGAATAGACTGAGCCAGAATGAAAATGCCGTCTAAATATATCATGAGACCACCATGGAGCCGAAGACAGTCCGAATGGGAGGCACCTGAACCTCTATTTACTGTACTACCATGTAAATTACTACCATGTAAATTGCAGGAAGTTCTCGATCTTGATGTTGTACTGGGATAGGCACTGTGAGATATGCATCCTGCAGATCCAATTTGGCCATCCAATCTGCTGGTTGGAGAAGATGCCTTAAACAATGCCCTCTTCCATCTTGGAAGTGCTGATATGTTCATAACTATTGAGCTGTCTCAAATTATTCAAATTATCACTGGACGGATACCTTTGCCTTTTTTGGAAAACAAGAAAAGGTTGCTCATGTAACCCAGGGTATGGGCCCGAATCTCGATTGATTGTCCACAGAGACAAGGTCTGCGTCTCATTGGGAAAAAACTATTTCCCTCGATGGTGAACATTGAACAGGTAGAGAAAGGAAGTCTATGCAATACCCTTTCACAGTGTGAAGAACCTAAGCATCTGATGAAATGTGGGACCATACATGGGAAAAATGTGTGAGCCTGCCCCCCACTATCAGTAAGGAAGAATAGAAATTGTGAAGACTTCTTAGGCACACCTCTTAGGCCACTAACAACCCAGGGTCGACCACTTTGTGGGAAGGAGGTTGGTATAGTGCACTGTTCAAAGAAATCGTCTCGGAAAGTATAAGAGCCTTAGTTTTGTCTAAAAGAACTTCTGTTTGTTTAGCCGGACAAAGGAGCCCAATTCTTTTACAAAGTTGTCCCCAAAGAGAAAACCTTTTGCCTGTGTTATCTGGCTCGTTCAGAGCCATAGTTAAACGTTTGGGCTCAATCTTGAGAAAGATCGATTTGTGGCATTCTGTGACAACCGCATTGTTGGCATTGCCAACATAAATCACTCTCTGGATCTAACCACTTAAGATGGCGCAATCTAATTCTAGATCATCCTCTACTGCTTCAAAGATCTTGGCTGCTGAGTCTAAGATGCCCAGGATTTTATCCTGACAGTTTTGCAATGAAACTCTAAGCCTTTAGATGGCTTCCATCCTGTCTTACTCAGGAATTGAATGATGTTAGGATCAACTGATAGCGTTTTACATGAGTCATCAGGGACTGTTCGGCCTGGCCATTCAGCCCGCAATTTATTTCACTTTGCCTTCTCAAAAGGCTTGCGTACTCTGGATGCAATATACTTGGCTACATGGTCTGAGGAGACCACAAGGTGACATAGGTCGTCAGGTTCAAATAGGGGTTCACATTGAGTGTCCAAGATCCTATCGGTGTCCCTGAGTCCGCATAATCTACCTAAATCTTGGTAGGTTTAACAGGACGTGTATCCCAAACAGGATTAGCATCCTCTTCATCAGTAATTTCATAATCAGGATCAGAAATATCCTCTGAATCCTCCATATAGGACTCAGGGAACTCCTTCTCAATATCACTGAGCTCAGATTCAGAGTTCAGTTGGGCTTTTGCCCTTTTCCAAAGTCTAGTCGATTTTGCCCGACTAGTAGCTCTTTTGTGCGGTGGTAAATTAATCGTGCCATCCATGACAGGTATGGTACTGTCCATCTCTATTGTTTTGGAGGAGTGTTTAGCCTTATATGAGGCCTTGCGGCCAGGCTGAAGCAGAGCAGGTGTGAGTACAGTTACACCTCCATATAGTACTCGGGGAACTCCTCCTCAATATCCCTGATCTCAAATTCAGAGTTCAATTGGGCTTTTGTCCTTTTTCAAAGTCTAGTCGATTTTGCCAGGTATGCCGGATTAATTGAATAGACATTGGACAGCCATCACTATTGTTGTGGAGGAGTTTTTAGCCTTATATGAGGCTTTGCGCCAGGCTGAAGCAGAGAAGGTGTGCGTACAGGTATACCTACATATAGAACTCGGGGTACACCTTCCCAATATCACTGAGCTCGGATTCAGAGTTCAATTGGGCTTTTGCTCCTTTCCAAAGTCTAGTTGATTTTGCCCGACTAGTAGCTCTTTTGCGTGGTGGTAAATTAATCGCGCCATCCATCTCTATTGTTTTGGAGGAGTGTTTAGCCTTATTTGAGGCATTGCGTCCTGACACCAGGGCCTTGTCATTGCTTTTGCCAATCAAAGCCTGCATGTCAGCAGGATCAGTAAAGCAGAAATTCAGCCTCATCTCCAGAGATACCTGGAGAGGCTTCTACATTAATCTGTATATTTGCTGTAGGCACAGAAAGATCCTGACAGACTGCATCATAAATTTACAAACAAACCTAATAGGATGAATAAAGTAAAATAATACCAAAAGGAAAGGGTTGAGTAACCCTCAAGTAAAAAATAAATAAATAACTAAACAGGATAAAGAAATGAAAGTACTCACAATAGTGAAAAAAATAGCAATTGTAATATAAAAACACAGAAGCTGCCCGGCCGCCACTATAACTAAACCCCAACTGGATTTCTGGCAGTTGGGGTCAGAGCAGCAGCCACACAGATAAATGAAGGGAAAAAACAGAACAATAGCACTATTTAGGGAATAAAGATCCTCAAAGACGCCCCTGAGCCCCAATTGATGGTAATCATGGGGCCAGGGAGGTCAGAGGGGAAAGAAATTATCAAAGGATATACAATAAAGCATATAACTGAAGCAAATGAAGTAAATAAATAAAATTAAGTTAAAATGAAGTAACTAAATATATTTATAAACATGAAAATATTATAATTAAAATGTAATAACTATATTAACCACAGTAATGATATGAATAAAGTAAAGTAAAAGATCCCACAGTTAAGAACCATGGGACCCAGTGTCATTTAACTGAAGTAGCAGCAAAGAAAGAGGAAGTAGTATACTGGACACTGCCTATTATGCTATAAAGAGGATGCTGATTGGCTGTTCCTGTTGCTAGGAAGATATACCTCATGTTATTTACTGGTTTCTTTTATACTGATTTATCCCCTTAACCCCTTCAGGACGGGTGACGGACGAGGTCCGTCACGCAGGGGAGACCCTTAACGACGGGTGACGGACCTCGTCCGTCACGCGGTAAAATTAACCCCGGATCGCCGCTATCGCGGCGATCGCGGGGTTAATGGTGCTCCCGGTATGCCTCTGCATTAGAGGCATACCGGGAGCACCCGGTCAGTCTGCCCAGCACATGTGCTCGCTCTGACCACAAGTCTGAGCGAGCACATGTGCTCTCTATACTCACCTACCGGCTCCCTGCACTTCCGGGTTCTGTGTGAAGTGCAGGGAGCCGGATCAGTGCTGATCCTGCCCCCTGCTGTAAAAAAAAATAAAGTTTATTTAAAGTCCCCCCCCTTACCCATTTTAATAAAAAATTAACCCCTTCCCTGCCAATTGATCACTGACTACAGTGATCAATTGGCAGGGATTACATTTTACTATGATCTGATTTTTTTTTTTAACCCCTGAGGGTTAATTCTTTTTTTTTTTAACCCTCAGGGGTTAAATTAATTAAATTAATTAATTAAATTATTTTTTAATTATATATTTAGCTAGCTGGGGTAGGTGGAAGTTAGTGGGGAATTGGGGGATTTGGCGTTAGGCTAACTAGGGGTTAACGTTAAAAAAAGTTTTAAAAGAAACTTTAAAAAGTTAAAAATTAAGCTTAAAAAAATGTTTTAATAACATTTAAGTAAAAAAAACAAAAAAAACACACTTTACCTAGTCCAAATAAAAATTAACCCCTTCCCTGCCAGTCGATCACTGCCTACAGCGATCAAATAGAGATCACAGTATTATACTGTGATCTAATTTTTTTTAACCCCTGAGGATTAACTTTTATTTATTTTTTTAACCCTCAGGGGTTCAATTTATTTAATTAATTAATTTAAATATTTTATAACTATATATTTTGCTAGCTGGGGTGGGTGGGAGTTATGGGAAAATGGGGAATTTACTGTTAGTGCTGCGTACTGCTAGTTAGGGGTTAACAGTAAAAAAAATAGCTTAGAAAAATGTTAAATCTGTAAAAAAGTTTTAAGAAAGTTTAGGAAAGTTTAAAAAAAATTTATAAGCAAAACAAAAGTTTAAAAACTAGTTTTTAAAAGTAAAAAAGTTATAAAAAGTAAAAAAATACATTTTAAAAACGCTCATTACCACTACACCTGGAACAAACTAGAGAAAAAATTATCCCACGCCAAGGTTCAAAATATGCCTTTTGAATTACCCCAGGGTGTATTCTTTAATAAATAGTATGTGTTTGTGGGGAAGTTTCAATAACCAACCGTCTAAACTATTCCAAATTGGAACATGGACACAGCGTAAAACTTCAAAGTTAGAAAAAAACTGAATGGCTGCGTCTCAAATGCGCCCCTTCAACATCCACATATACCTGGCAAAGGTACATACGGGGGTATTGCTGTACTCAGCCGACATAGCTGAGCAACATATGAAGTATTATACAGTCATAGTACACATAAGGTTTGCAAAATATGCTGCGCAAACTCACTTTGTATGTCAAAAAGGCAGAAAAAATGCTTATTACCACTACACTTGGTACAAGCTAGCGGAAAAATGATCCCACACTAAGGTTCAAAATATGCCTTTTGAAATACCCTGGGATGTCTTCTTTAAGAAATGGTATGGCTTTATGGGGAATTTGGATTATATAGCCTGGTAAAATACTCTAAAATGGGACATAGGCACAGCATAAAAATTCAAAGTTTGAAAAAAACTGGAATGGCTGTGTCCCAAATGTGCCCCTCCGATGTCCACACATACCTGGCAAAGGTACATACGGGGGTATTGCTGTACTCAGCCGACATAGCTGAGCAACATATGAAGTATTATACAGTCGTAGCACACATAAGGTTTGCAAAATATACTGTGCAAACTCACTTTGTATGTCAAAAAGGCAGAAAAAACGCTTATTACCACTACATCTGGTACAAGCTAGCGGAAAAATGATCCCACGCTAAGGTTCAAACTATACCTTTTGAAACACCCTGGGGTGTCTACTTTAAGAAATGGTAGGCCTTTGTGGGGTAGATTGAATTTAAAACCTGCGAAGATGCTTGGAAATTGCACATAGGCCCAGCGTCAAAATTCAAAGTTTGGTAAAAACGGATATGGCTTGGTCTCCTATATGGCACTGTAGCTTCACAAAATAGTGACAAAGACATTCATTGGGGGTGTATTTTTACTCCAAAGACTTAGCTGAGCATAATTTGGGAGGTTTGAACTTAGTGGCACATATGAAATATATATATATTGGTGAAAAAATGGGGGTATGTCAAGGCACAATATGCACCTTATGAGATACCCTGGAGTGTCTACTTTTACAAATGGTAGGCCTTTGTGGGGGTTTTTTGAACAGTCAAACTGTTATAATACCCCAAATGGAAGCTAAGGCTCATTAAATCCATCTCTCAAAATTCTACTGTGAATACTGTAAAGGACAGGTCTCCTATATGGCACTGTAGCTTCACGAAATAGTGCCAAAGACATTCATATGGGGTGTCATTTTACTCAGAAGACTTAGCTGAGCATAATTTGGGGGGTTTGAACTTAGTGGCACATATGAAATATACAAAACGCCCAGCAAAAATGCAATCCGTATGTAAAAAATGCACAAAATTTTTTTTTACCACATACTTTGGCATATATTGGTGAAAAAATGGGGGCATGTTAAGGCACAATATGCACCTTATAAGATACCCTGGAGTGTCTACTTTTACAAATGGTAGGCCTTTGTGGGGGTTTTTTGAACAGTCAAACTGTTATAATACCCCAAATGGAAGCTAAGGCTCATTAAATTCATCTCTCAACATTCTACTGTGAATACTGAAAAGGACAGGTATCCTGTATGGCACTGTAACTTCACGAAATAGTGCAAAAGACATACAATGGGGGTGTCATTTTACTCAGCAGATGTAACTGAACACAAAATAAAACTTTGTACAGGAATAGCACACACCAACTTTACAAAATATACACGAGAATTTCTTTGTTATAAGTTTGTGTGCCAAAAACCAAAAAGAACACAATTTTACTCCAATATTTAGCAGAGGTTGGCGGTAATATGGCTACGTAGAAAGTGTCAAAACAACCTTAGGTAAATAGCCCGTGATGTCTACTTTATATAAATATATACTTTTGTGTGGCAATTTTGTTTTCTTTTATGGCTATTAAGCTTACAAGACAAACATACCAAATTCTAAAATCGCTCCACATTAAAATTTTATTTTACTCCTTGTGCTTTGTGACCTGTAACTACCAAAAAAAACTTAAAATCCCAGACACATTATATATTCTGTAAATCAGAACAAATAAATAAATTTATTTTTAATTACTTTCCTTAACCTGCACTAATTATGCACACATTATTATTGCAAAAACTGTAAAAAAAAACAATATTTTTCATTTTTTTTGCATTTTTCTGTATTTTTTTTATAATAAGTAAGCATTTATATATATATATATATGTTATATCAAATTAAAGCCCTTTCTGTCCTTTAAAAAACAGTATATAATATGTGTCGGTGCAATAAATGAGAGAGATGCAAATTGCAGTTGAACGCAAACAGCAAGAAAATGCAAAAATTGCTTGTGTCATTAAGCGTAAGTCAAGCTTCTGAAGCTGTGTCCTTAAGGGGTTAAGGACTGAGCCAAATGTACACGTTGTGAACAAAACAAAACGTAAACAAAAACTGGCATTTGCGCTATATGTCTGTCCAACAGTAATTCAACTCTTTCATATTAAATGCACCCACCCTTATTATATATTATTTTATTCAGGGGAAACAGGGCTTTCATTTAATATCAAATATTTAGCTATGAAACATAATTTAATATGAAAAAAATGGGAGAAAATAAGAAATGTTGTTATTTTTTTAGTTCTACATGACATTTTAACTGTCAATGTCATAATACTGTTTGCTTTTACTGCAATAAAATACACATATTTGTATTCAGCAAAGTCTCACGTGTAAAACGGTGCCCCCTATGTACAGGTTTTATGCTGTTTTGGGAAGTTACAGGGTCAAATATAGCACGTTACATTTGAAATTGAAATTCGCCAGATTATCCAGTCTTTTTTAGTAGCCATTTGGTCACAAACACTGGCCAAAGTTAGCGTCAGTATTTGTTTGTATGTGAAAAATGCAAAAATCGCCAATTTTGGCCAGTGTTTGTGACTAAGTGGCTACTAA